GGGATAGGGAGGCCTGGTGGTCCTGCCTGTGGTGGGGCAGGGTCATGTAAATACCAGTACTGAGAACCTCCCTGGTGTAAGATGGGTTGGGATGCCTAAACCCCTGCCCCCACCTTTGGGTGGGTTACCTGGAGAGCTAAAGGGGGCCAGGCATGCTTTGTGAAGCACCTGAGCCTATAAAGGTGCAAGACCCTGGGCCCTGAGCTGCAAGGCAGAGTAGTGGGGCCAGTTAAGCTGACAGAGGAGTGGCTGAGTCCCAATGTGGTGTTTGACCCTGGGCCCCAGTAAGAGGGATGGTGTGTTTGCTCAAGGGGGCGGGAGTAAGAAATGGCCCAGTGAGACTAGAGCTGAGACAGCCTGGAGTGGGGTGAATCAGCGGTCACCACCCAGAGGAGGGTCACAGGGGACCGAAAAGGTTGGGCCAGGGTCACAGGGGACCGAAAAGGTTGGGCCAGGGCTGGCTGAAGAGAATAAGCTGATGAATTGGCAGTCACCATCTAGATGAGGGTCACAGGAGAGGCCCAAAAGGCTAGGCCAGGTCTGTCTGAAGTATGAGTGGACAAGCCTGAGGATCTTTCTGGAGTAGGGTGATGGGAGTGTGGCCTGGATAGGCAGTGTGTGAGAGGCCCTTGTGAAAAAGGGCAGTAAGAGAGAGGCCCGAGTAGGGTGGTATGTGAGAGGCCTTACAAGGGGCTATCTGAGTCAGCTGTAAGTTGTAGCAGTTTATGTTTACAGCATGACATCAGCAAGACATGGAACACGTGTAGGGGTGGTAGGAGCGTGTACTGATTGCCTGTGGTCATTTGGGCTGCACAGAGGGCAGCCTCCCACATATTTGACATTAAAATCATTTACAAATAAGGCATGGCAGACGAGCAAGGTGGGCAGTTTGCCCAGAGACAAGGGTGGGGCCATAATAGTATCAGGCCTGGAAGGTGCCTTTGTCACAATAATGAATAGCTATAACTGAATATAGGGGGTGGAAGAATGTTTCAACTAAGATTGTAAGATTTCTAAAGCAATTCATTTCTGCACCAAAGTAGGTCACTTATTTTATTTCATTACCATTATGACCAAAGTGATTTTGTGAATGTCAATCTCCGTGATTTAGAAACCCTTTATTTTCAAAAATTGACTTATTTTATTTCTTACTATGACAAACAACTGTGCAGTTATACGCCTGCAAGATACCAGAAGTTTTCCAGGACTGGGTAAATGAGCAGGGTGCAAGTAGAGATGGCTGGGAAATGTGTATTTCCTGAAATTTCTCAAGATTTCATAATGTTTTCAATCTTCAAAGACCTTCCTCTGATTTTCATGAAAAATGGAAGAATGTAAAATCCTTACCCATTGTATGGTAAGGGACTCGTCTGGGATAAAAGAGACTGACGCCCCTGGCAGATGTTAAAATAATCGTGCAATTTGAATCTGAGAGATGTTATGCCTCATCCCAAACATTGCACACCCTGACAAGTCAGACACGCGTGGCAGGATGCGCATTTGGGATGAAGCATAAACTTCAGGTAAGAAGGCCGCCTCCAGCCCGATCCCTAGTGACCGGCTAACAATAGGCACTTGGAACATAACAAGCACTTGTACATGTATAATTAATGAGAAGCAATAAACCCCAGTGCTTATTGTTTATTGCTCCTGGGTGTGCCTTTTGAATATGCACCCAGGACCACAGCATGTTGAGCTGGGCTGGAGCACTCCAACTGGCAGGGAACCCCAGGGGTCAGCACCTCTACACATGCCCAATAACCTGCTCTGATACGTTCGAGCTAATTAGCACGCTCCAGCAGCCTTGGTATCACATGTATTCACTGTCCATGTGCTTCAAGATGGCAGCAGGGGTGTTTTAACAAAGCTTTAGTTAAAGCACTCCCACCACCATTTTGAAACACGGTACTCTGAATACATGAGACACTGTGGGTGCTTTAATTAGAATGGCTCCTGAGAGCTGTTCTGAATAAAGCGTGGCCCCTCTTTCCCCCTCCCCACAGAGCATGTGTAAAGGTGCCCAATTTGCTGCAGAGCTGGGATACAAGGGCACTTCAGTATGGGTTTAGCCAGCAGGCAGCCCCTGCACTGAAGAATCCTAGTGCCCTGGGCAGCTGGGGCAGCATCTACATGTGTGCTGCTGCGAGTAAAAAAGTACTATTCTGCTGTGGAATTCATTTACTCCAGCCTAACAGGGGCACACGTGTAGACACAATGTTTACTGCAGAGCTAATTAGTCAAGTCTGCAGTAAATGTCTCATGTAGACATGCCCAAAGGGTAGTTTTAAATTGCAAAGCACAAGGGTTACAAGGTTTCTGGAAAGGGAAGCTCTGCTCACTGGAAAGCTTGCAACCCATGTGCCCCATAGATCATTGTTGGCATGGCAGCAAAGCTAGCCTGGTTTGATGCTGACAATCATCAGTTGTTAGCATTGGGACTAGGGCAGCTTGGGAAGGGTTCCAGACCTGAGGATGCCCAAGTCCTGATGCTGACAATCAGCTGCTTGTCAGCATCAGAATGATGGGGCATGCCACATGTTCAATTTAAAGCTCCTTTCAAACCACCCACAAAGATGTTTCATCTTTGTGGCTGGCTTGCCATTTTATGACCCAAAAATGGTTGTGTGTGGCACGTTGCTATTTATGGCACAATTAATGTAATGTGTGCTGGGTGCTTGAGATACAAATCCCTGTTGTGCCTGATTCAGAACGGGGGCTTGACTCACATGAATGCCCTGGGGCAGGTCAGCCTCTGTTGTTGGCACTATTCCAGTTTGTAAAAATAATTAAATATTTATTGGAACAACACTTTGAACGTTCATTGTGTACATCCTAAGTGAGTTGCACAACCACTGGATTACAGTCAGTCTCCTTCTGGGCCAATCAATATGTAAAAAAGAATGGAACAGTTCCATCAGGTAAGCTTAAGAGACTGAGTCTTTAGTCCAACAGATATTGTAGTTCAAGTCCCTAATCCAATACATAGTTCATTATTTATATGAAATGGAACAGCTCTAACAAGAGACATGGACAGAGACCCACCCTAAACGAGTCAATAACTTACTAGTTGGGGTATTCAATTGGAAAGTCTCTTGACTATGTTTTGAACCCTGGCAGCAAAAGGTGCCAGAGCTGGGACTTGAATCTGTCTCCTACATCCCAAGTGAGTGCACTACGGGGAGATGGAGACCCTTCTTTCTGGATTTAACAAGAAATTCCATCCTTGTTAAAACTGCTATGCAGGTTTCCATGGCAAGTTTTGGTTCTGACAAATCAATATTTAATGATTTTAAAAAGCATTTTATTACAAAATTCACAACAATTTCTCTTTGCAACACCACTCTCATTCTAGGCATCTGCCTTCTTTTCAGCCTTTGCTTAGCCACTTGAAACTGGACCTCCCCAGATGCCAAAAGCCATCTATAATCATCACACTAGTGCTATGACTTTCCTTTGCACTGTCCTGGTAATGTACAAGACTATAAAAAGTATTTTTCAGAAAGACTGAATGGCTTGAAATGAATGACTACAACTGACCAACAACCCCACATGTTGTTATAATGCACTTACATGGACCAGCTAAGGAATGTAAAGAATAAAGTGCCAGAAGTATTAAATCTTCTTTTTCTTGAAACTGTTTTAATACATTCAATATGACCATATGATCTTTGCTTTCCACAAATTCAGTCAGTTGCTCTTCTGGAACTGAGTTAAAGTAAAAAAGAGAGAGTTTATATACTTGCCCAATTTGATATTAGGTAAAACAATAGTTTTTATACAGTTTTGTGATATTTATCTAACACATTTTTCATAAGGTCACTTTTTCTTTATACAAAAACCTTTAGCTTCCTGTTGGCACGAATACTTTCATTATACAGCTAACAAAAATGGAGTCACAAAACTTGTCGTCTAGCTAGTCTTATATGGCACCCTAGGGTACTGAGTGATCCTTAAGTGTGCTGTAAGGTGCTGCACAGTATTAGCACTGTTAGGTGGGCAAACATCTGCACATGAGTCATAAGAAACTTGGATTTTCAAAAAAGAATTCATAACATCAAAAATATTTAGCTTTGTTGTGGGTTTTGAGTTCTTTGCAACAAAAGAATTGCTCTGTTATGTTTCAATAGTCAAAAAATGAATGACAGCTAAGAGCAGGCATTTTCCGAGGAGTGCCTTGAGTCTAAAAAGGTCGAGAACCACCGATATATGGATTAGCACATTTGGCTAGTTTCCCTTGGCATTTTTAACATAACCTATAACAGTATGAAAGGCTAATACTTTATTTACATTTTAAAATTATGGTATACTTCATAACATTCAATTGGAAGCTAAATTTTATTCAGATCAGTGATAAAAACTGCTTCAAAATCAACAGTGTGATATAACCTCATAAATCCGGCTTTCAAAATTCTAAAATTCTCAAAATTCAAAAATTTTGAATTCTCAAATCTGGCACTTAAAAAAAATACAGTAAATTACATTGTTGCATTAAAAACAGCTTCCCAATAATCCAGAAATTTCTCTGGAAGTCCAGCACTTCTCTGAGTGCCATTGTTTTTGTTCGTCAGCCTACAGCTATTCTTTTGAACAATACTCAGTCACATGTATAGTGCAATAGCAAAGAAAATTGTCCTAAGGCTACGCACGTTCCTTATGTTTTGTATTAACTCACCTCATTAGATGAAGTATGACCCTTTCTTTACTCACAAAGAAATAAAACAAAACCCAGAAGAACTCACAACATGCATTATTTGCTGCTAGTTATTTTTCTTTAGTCAATTCCCAGTTTATAAATCATTCCACC